GGCTTTCGCTCAGTCCTGCATCTGCTCCGCGCAGACACAGGGTCTTTGGCGGACACGCGGACCCTGGTATTCGGTGCCCGAAAGGTACGGCCGCCGCGCGCGTCGGCCGCGAGCCCATGATATCGGCGGCAGGCGGAACCGCCTGGTGCGCAAAGATTTCGCGCGCGCGCCACGGCCGAAAACGCGCGCGCGATGTCGGATTGGCTGCGCGAGGCGCGGCCGCGCGCTCTTCGAACTAAGCGGCCTGCCGTGCGTGCCGGCCCGCGGGCCTGGCGTTTGGCAGATCGGACGCGGCGATATGGCCGACGCTTTCGTCATATGCTGGCAGTTATGCTTGCGCTTCGGCTCCGAAGTAGTGGGACTGAATGCGCCTGGGCATAGCGCCGTCTCGCTCCACGTAGACGAAGGAAAGCGCCAGGTGCAGGTGCAATTCCGCCAGCGGAAGGGGAGAGTGGCTCCCGACCCGGCGGGCCGAGCGCGCGCGCGCGGCGGGGCGCGCCCCGGGCTCCCCGCATCGCGAGGTCTGGAGGGTATGCGTATGCCAGCTCCAGGGCAAACGATTGGGTGCGGTCTGCATCATTCGGCATTCGCTCCGGCCCGGCGAGCAGCTCCTGCCGGGCGTCTCTTACGTGGACGGGCTGGCTTGCGTCGAGCTCGCCGCTGCCCACCTCGGGCTCCATAGGGCATTGGAGTGGGGGACGCATTGCTTCAGGCGCGGCCGGGCCGACCAGGCATGGGCTCCCCTTGCCGCCCCCTGCCTACCCAGGGCCCGCGCGCGGTTCGCGTCTCTCGCACGCAGGCACTCCGCACCGGGGGGCCAGCAGCGCTGTTCTTCGAAGGGGGTTGGAGATCTTTGGCCGCGCTCGGGCACTCCATTCCGACAGGGGGCACGGCCGCGCTGCCTGGGTCGCGAGGGCGCGGCGCTTGGCGGCGCGCAGGTACCCGGCCGCAAAGACGCGAGCCATGGTGCTGGCGGCAGAAGCCGAGATCGCGCACTCCGATTCCGACGAGGCGCCGCCCTGCAGGCATCGGGGTCGGGGCTCCGCGGCGGCGCGCGGCGCGCAGGACGCGCCGATCGCCGCGAAAGCGGTGCAGGGGCCGCCCAGGCCGTGAGTCAAGCAGACCACACCACACAGACCACACAACCACCACCAAACAAAAAGGCAGCAACAACACACGAACACAGACCAACACAAAAAAGCAGAAACCTACCACACAAAAAACCAACAAACCAACAAAAACACAGCAACACGCAAAAACCACACGAAAAACAAAAAAACCAACAGGAACCACACGAAAACAGACCCAACCAAAAAACAAAAGACCAAACAACAAAAAAAACCAACCACAAAAAAAAACCAAAAACGAAACCATAGCAACACAAGACCAAACGCCCCAAAGCCAACACACCGAGCACAACCAAACGCAAGAACCAAAAACACAAACAAAACACCAACAAAACCAAGGGCATAGGCGTCTGCTTTAGAGGGGCGCGCTTGGGCGTCGTTCCGCCGAGCATGCATCGGGAGGCGTCGGCGAGGTTGCTCGGCTCCGCGACGCCGACTCGCGCTCACCCCACCGCATGGCCTGGGCCTGCGCCAGTCGACGGTTAAACCCCGGGGTAGCGCGGGCCCAGCCTCGACGCGACTTCTCATGGGCGCTCTGGGCAGCATTTGAGCGCGGGGAGAAGTCGCGCGAGCGTCGTGGCCCCTATTGGCTATCTTCTTGCTTGTCTCTAATGCTGCGGGACGGCTATTCACGGCTGAGGCGGTTCCCCACCCTGCGCGCCCGCGAGCGCGTTCTCGTCGCAGGTGAATGGGATTTGTCTCACGCGTGGCCGTCCCGCTGGCGGGATGCGTTTTTCCCCACCCGCCCGACCCTGCTGCGCGAGCGCACTGGCGTCGCAGTGGCTGCTAGCTGCGTCGAGGCTGGGCTGACCCAGCGCCAGGCTTGGGGGAGGCGTCGGCGAGGTTGCTCGGCTCCGCGACGCCGACTCGCGCTCGCCCCACCGCCTGGCCTGGGCCTGCGCCAGTCGACGATTGTGCCCTGCGTTAGCGCGGGCCCAGCCTCGACGCGACTTCTCACAGCAGCTGACGGCGGCAGCGGCAGGAAGTGGCGCCTCGGCTCCAAGGATGGCGGCAGGCGCACGCAGACAGCACATGCGCCGAACGCCAATGATAAAACCCTCAAGTGAAGGCGGGTGGGCCTCGGAGTTTGGGCGCAAACATTTGCAGTTGCGCGGCACCCCCCCCCCCCTTCCCCAGCACATGCCGCGCGAAAGTTGTTACCGTGCCGAGGAGGGTTGCCGCTGCCATTGTATATTCTTTAAACAGCCGACGATGGCAGCGGCAGGAAGCGATGCCTCGGCTCCAAGAGGGACGGCAGACACGCGCAGACAGCGCAGACGCACCTTGCGCAACGCGACACCATGGCCAAAAGGCCGGCAAAACTATAGATTTTGGACCAAGACAGATCTTCAACGGCACTGGCGAGGGAATCGGCAACAAGCTCGGCGGCTCTAACGGGGAAGCGCGCGGCTTTGTCGGCAAGCCACGCCCCTGGCCCCGCGGCCGTTGAATTGTAAATGAGGTCGCCCAGAGAAAGAGCGCACATAACTATGCGGATTGCAACGAGCGTTGAGGCGCTGGAGCTGCGGGCAGTGCCAGCCCAATATTCGCGTGGCCGAGCGGGTTGGCGATCCGCACTGGCAAAAGGTCCAAATCGATTTGATGAGACGACGGGAGGCTCACAACTGATCGAAACTCGGGCACGGCAAATGTGGCTGGCCCTCGGGAACTCACGACAAACGGGCACAGCGTACTCGAGACAGGCTCGAATAGTGGTGAGAGCCGCCCGCATGTCGACATTGTCAGGCCAGAAGGTCGGAAGCTTCGACCGAAGGCTAGCACGCGCGGCCCGACCCCGCGGATCAGACAGGCAGCGGACAGGAGGGGGCCAATATTCGATCCAGGGCCCTCTCGGCAGGGGGAGCCAGCAGGCACAGACAGCCGACGATCGAATCCACCCGAGGAGTTGATCGACGACCGCCAGCTCAGTCAGACCGAGATCCACATTCCGACCTGCGCCAAACGTGGGACAACCCAAGCCGCGTCGGTGCAACGCTTTGAAAATGGATGCCCCGCGGGGCCCGACAACTGGCAGAACGAGCCGACGGCGGCGGAACGCCGACGCATGGGCACGTCGACAAGCCTACCTCATACGAGAAGCTGCGCTACCTTCTGGCCAGAACAGGCGCCCGCTTCACGGCCCGAGGCGCGACGGGCACGGCCTGCAACAGGGCCGCCAGCGGGAAGGGGCCCTTCACGAACGCGGTCTCGATCAGCTCCGACAGCCTCGCGAAGACCTGATCGCCGACCTCGGCGAATTGTGTCGGAAGGGGCCTGGTCCGCTGCTGCGTGCGCGCCCGTTTCCCGTTCCTTCTTCACACTTGTCCGACATCCATCTCCATCTCTCTTTCATTTCCGCTACCGAGCGAGCCCCCGAGAGCAAGTCGCGCGAGGCCCCCCTTGGCGGAGGGTGCACGAGGGCGGGGGCTCCTTTTGCAGCCCCAGATCGGCGGCGCCAGCGAGCCCACGAGCAGCCGGCAGGCCTCCGACGGCCTGGGGTGCGCGTGGAAGACCAGCGCTAACAATGCGGGAGGGCTGGGCGATTTCATCCTGCTGAGCTAGCCCGCCACCGCCATTGCCGCCGATCGCGGCGGTGGCAGGCGCATCTGCGGTGGAACGAAACGGCGCCAGCCATCGAGGGCCCGCGCCGCTCTGGGAAGCGGGCGCTCCCCGCTGAGGGCGCGGGCCGCGACCGTCATCCCCCCCGTCGCCGTGCCGAAACCATCCGGGGCCATGTCCGTCAGGAAGGACGCCAGCGCAACGCCCAGCTGACCGGCCGTGACGAAGTCGTGATCGTGCCACCCCAGCCACTCCAGGAATCGTAGAGCACGTCTGCGGCACCGAGTTCTCGTCGCATCCGCGACGGCGGAATCCTCGTGGAAGCTGATGGCCCCCTCGGCCAGCTCATCCGCTCGAGGATGGCCCAGGGCCTGAGCCGCCACGATCGTAAAGGCCAACTGCTTCAAGGGGGGCGCGGCCCGCTGCGACGCGGCGCGCCTCCTCGAAGCCTTTGCCGTGGGAGAATCCATGGCGAGACGGCCAGTCAACGCGTTCAAGTCCGATGGCAGCCAGCGTGCATAACACCGAAGGTGGGAAGCGAGTGCGAGGACCGTGATCTTTGGCAAGGGTCGCCGAAGGGTCGGCCTGCGCCCCCCCCCCGCCCTGCGCCAGCAGCCAGAGCCAAAGGTAAATTGTCGACGAGAAACAAGTGACGGTGGTGGCGGAGCGAAACGTCACGAGTGGCACGCCAAAAAGCGTCGCGCAGCGCATCGCCTGCAAGCTCCACAACATGCCTGAAAAGGGGTTCCAGTGCCTCCTGGAGATGACGGTGGCCCGCGACGAGGCCTGCATGAGCTCCTCGGGGATCTCGCAGAAGCCCGCGTCGTCGAAGCCCGCGGGGCCGGGCGCGGCGAGGTCCTCCAAGAGATCCGAGGCGTCGGGGGCCCCATCGAGACCCAGTGCGTTAGCACTCGCAGACACCGCCGAAGTACATCGATAACGCCACCTCTCCGCCTGCCCCCCAATCTCGGCCACTCGGGCCCCCCCGAGCCGACGAGCACATGCGCCGACGCCGGTCGGGGGGGGCGTCTGAGGCCGAGACGCGCGGGTCCCAGGGGGCGTTCACGCGCGAAGTCCAGAGCGGCTAAGTGCTAGCGACGCACCAAGGCTCGAACCTGACTGGGCCCCATAGAGGCCTAGCGCCAGGATCCTTCAAGGATTTGAACGCGTGGGCGGGCGACAGTCTCCGTTTTGCAATTCATTGCCCACGTGATGTGCCCCAACAGAACTTCGAGCATGCGAGGTGAAGCGGCCCCCCCGCCGCAAGGCGGCACGGGGCGCCTGCCGAAGCCGCATCGCGCTGGACGGCTTCACCCCCGCGGCCCCGAGGCCGCCGTTAATCTCGAGGCCCGTGAAAGCGGAGACGGAGGAGGCGACTCTGATCGAGCGAACGAGAAGCTCCCAAACCTCCAACATCCTGGTGACCTCGCCCCTCCTCGCGGCGACGGTCTCCGCGTCGCCGCCGACGATGGCGAGGTTGCCCGCGTTGCCGGCTGCAGCCGCGCTGCCCCTCGCCAGGAGGGCGGGGCTAGGGCGGCCGTCCTCGACGAGGCCACCGTCGCCGAAGCCGCTGCGCACGAGGGCCCTGCGCAAGATGCCCCGGCAGAAGAGAAGCAACCAGCTCCAGCCCATCGGCGAGACGCGCGTCATCGGCTGGAGGACGCAGTCAGGAGACACGGGCCGCCCGTCGATCTGCTTGATATTCAGCATGCGATGAGAGATAGCATGGGGCGCGAAGAGCTCCTCCATGCCCTCGGTCACGAGCGCGCGGTAAAAGGCGCGCTGGGTGTCGCCCCGGGCCAGCACCGCGGGATGCTCGTGCGACCGCCGCGGGCAGCGCGGTCTCGGGCGGCGCCGCGGAGCCCTCGTTCGCCACGCGCGCGTCGAAGACGAGGCGCAGCGCGCCCTCGCCAACTTTCTCGACAAAGCAACATCCCAAGCTATACGGATCAGCAGCGCGTGCCACGCGGAAGCTGATCACGCTTCCCTGCCGCGTCTCCCCACCGAAGCCAGCGTGGGCTCTGGGGCCGTTGGCCAAAATAGGATCGACGTAAGGACGCTGCGGCGCTGGCGCCGATCTCGAGGCCGAAGCAGACGACTCACCATTGAGCGCGGCCCGTCTCCATCCCGACGAACATTCGCGCTCGGCCCCCCCAGAGAGATCAGCGACTTCGACTGGCTGCTCTGAGAGGTCAGGCCAGGACACCAGGTCCTCGTTGTAGGGCCCAACGCGCTGGGCCTCCGCGGAGTAGCCAGGCGCCGACGCGAGCAACTCTGTCGAGGCTGCTTCGCCAGACGATGATCCTCCTGATATCCAGGAGGGCGGGGAAAATGTTGATAGGCCCGAGAGGTGCGATCCCTCGCGCTCGCCTGCGCCGCCGAAGCCATCAACCCAGGCGGTGCAGGCGCAGGAGACGAGTGGCCGCTCAGCTGGTTCAGGGCGGCGATGCCGCCGTTCGCCCATCGCCTCCAAGCCGCCCCGCGCTGGGCGCGCTGGCGCCCCCGCCGACCGCGGCGAGCTCCCGCGCGAGAGCCCGCCGCCAAGGCAGGGGGGGAGACGCGTCGCGCTGTCGTACTCCAGGGTCCACCGCGTAACAGAACGGGCGGAGGCAGAGGCCGCCACGAAAATACAGGTCTCGCCCAGGCGGCACCGAGGTGCCTGCACCCGTCTGGGAGAAGCTTCCGCATGGCTATGCGCGCGCCGCCCGCTCCTCGCGGGCGTCGCGCCTCTCCTTGGCGATGGCAGCCTCCGCCTTCAGCTGCTCAGCAATGAACTCGATGAGAGCTGGGGCGATGCAGAGGTTGCCTTTGCTCGCCGACGCTCCCATGTAGTGGTCCGCCTCGGCCGCCAGCAAGCGCTCGCTGGTGATGGAGGCCTTCTAGTCCTTGCCCGATCGCTTGTCCTCGGCAGCGACCTGGGCGGAGACCGCGTCCTCGTAGTGCCTCTCCTCAATGAGCTGGATCTGGCGGCATATGAGCTCGAACGCTGCGAGCTCCGAGCAATTGACCTGATCGTAACAGCTCCCGGTCTCGAGCAGCCTGCAATTCATCTCGTGCTGCTGGCAGATGGACTCAGAATCAGGCAGCCGAGCCTCCGCTTCCAACTTTGAATGCCAAGCCAACGTGCCGCCAGCATTCCTGCGCATGTGATCCAGGCACCACTGGGTGGCGCGCGGCCCCTTGATCGGCCAGCCCGCCTGCGGCGTCGACGAAGCCTTGAGGGCCGCGGCCGTGAAGTCGAGCGCCCGACGGCCAGAGGCGTCACGCACCAGCTCGTGCACCCGGCAGTCAGGCGCGGCCGCGCCTGGGGCAGCTGCCAGGGGCGCGGCGGCGCCGAGCGCGCCAGCGCCAGCGGCGGGCGTCGCCGCGGCAACCGCCGGCGGCGGCAGGGCCAGCCCGAGGGCGGCCGCTAGGGCCCGCGGCGGCGCCGCAAGCGGCGGAAGCGGCCGCTCCAGCACCCGCGGCGCCGGCCCCTGCCCCTGCGGCTGCCACGACCGCGACAGCGCGGGCAACGTCCACGCGCTGCGGCACCCAGGCCGCGCCCAGCCACGGCGAAAGGCGTCGGGGGCATCGGCGCGCCGAGCACCCCCGCCGCGGCGCGCAGGTGGGCCCACATGGTGGCCGCGTTCGGGATTCCACGAACCTGTACGTGTTGGCCTCGGCGATGCCGAAGAGCGGAGCGCCGAGACCCCTGAGCGGGCGAACCTCCTGAACGTCCGCGTCCACCACAATCGTCTCCTCATACACATATCCATTTACCGTGAGGACCACAGCCGTTCCAGGAGGCACATCAATCAGGGTGATCCGCTCGTGATACACAGCAGGCCCTCCCAGTCGATATCGAACGGCATTCACTTCATGTGGCAACGGCATTCTAAATGGCGGCCCGCGCCTGCTGTGAGGCGAGGGCACGGATCTCCTCGGCCGACGGAATGGTGGGCGTAACTGTCACGGGGGGCGGTTTGGGCACGACCTGCCCGTGGCCCCCAGCGGCCTGAACTCCAAAATTCCACACAAAAAAGGGGAGCACGAAGGCGCCCACGAGAAGGCCGAAGAAGAAGAACACAGCGTGGCTGCCCCAAGCGGTGACCACCTGCAGAGCGTGCGGGCTGTCGATGCTGGAACACGTGATGCTGTACGTCGGCGAACAGTCGCACGAGCAAGATGGGCAAGCAGGAGGCGGTCCCGACGTGGCAGACCAGATCACCAAGGCCTGCGAGGCGCCGCGCGAGATATCCGAAAGGAAACGCGTGGCGGCGGCTTGCATGCCCCACAAAAGCTTGAGCACAAACATTTGCAGCTGTGCGACCACTCTCCCCCGTCCCCAGCACATACCACACTAAAGTTGTTACCATGATGATGATGATGATGATGATGCTGCTGCTGATGATGATGATGATGCTGATGATGATGATGATGATGATGATGATGATGATGATGATGGTGGTGGTGATGATGCTGATGCTGATGCTGATGCGGATGCGGATGCGGATGCGGATGCTGATGCGGATGCGGATGCGGATGCGGATGCGGATGCGGATGCGGATGCGGATGCGGATGCGGATGCGGATGCGGATGCGGATGCTGATGCTGATGCTGGTGCTGATGCTGATGCTGATGCTGATGCTGATGCTGCTGCTGCTGCTGATGGTGATGGTGATGATGATGATGATGATGATGATGATGATGATGATGATGATGATGATGATGATAATGATGATGATAACCAACCCGCCAAGTGCGGCAACCAACTTCCGCGCCTCGTGGTCGCATGGGGAGCTTCTCCGAAACCCACAAAGGGATGTGGCCTCATGGCGTTCCCCCCGCACATTTCGGCATAACCCCTCCGCACGCCTCGTGGCCCCATGGGGAGCTCAACCTAAACTCAGGTCGGGCGTGCCCTCCTACAGCCAGAATGTGGACGAAACCTAAAATAGCCACAACTGATCACACATAGTCAGGAATCGTCAAACCATCGCTCCCTGACTATGGTTCACTATGTTTGGATATTCCTCATGTAGAGAGGCACGCCCGACTTGAACCTGAACCTCCAGGGTGCGTGGCCGCACAGCGTCCCCCGACCATTTCGGCGTACCAATCATACGTTTCTGGGCCTCGTGGGGAGCTCCACCGAAGCCCCCCATGGAAAGGTGCCGCACAACGTCGCCCAGCCCGTTTCGGCGCACCCCTCACACGCTTCGTGGCCCCACAAGGGGCTCCAAAGGAGGCTTCAGTGGCGAGGTACCGTATAGCGTTAGGTCGGGCACGTTCCCCTAAAGGCGAATTTTGAACGAGGAATTCGCCGGCCCAACGGGCCAGGG